GCACAAGACAGAAAAAAGTTTGGGGAAGTGGTCACCTAACTTCGGCAATGGAAGCGGCACTTCAAGAAGAAAATATTACATAGCTGACGTACAGGGCGTTGTCCGGGATTTGCAAAAAAAGGTTTCACACTAACATCGATAACTGCGCATTTCTGGCGTGTTTAGATGAAAATACAAAATTTAATCAAATTTCATATTTTATTGAAACTGTTTTAATATGTTATTCGCTCCGTACACTCGGAAATAATTTTATAATTTTGTTTTAAAAAAACGCATTTTGGGGTAAAAATTGAACCGCACACACTTTTTTTGTCCTTTGTGGCTCAAACGTATCCCGGCCAAATTCGGGAGCAATTAATCCAGTGGTACTATTTTTCTAAGACACATACGAATGTAAACTACTTAATGCAAACTTTTTGGGGGACACATACGAATGTAAGGTACTTTCACATTATAGATTTAAAATTTATATTAAGAAAAAACATGACTTTTTCTTTAAAAAATATATTCCAAGTATTGTTTTACGAAATAATTGCCTGTCAAATTACAGACAGGTTCAAGAGATATATATTAATTTTCGTTATACTTGTTTAGAAAGTCTACCTATGCTACTTTAATTTCAGGGAGGATACCCGTCTTTGCCTTCCTAGGAGGGAAAGTTCGAATAGTGCTACAGAATACATATTTCGAATTTCTCCAGGACAATCAATATAACCACAGAAATACGTACATTTAATACAACCAGCAAAATAAAATAGCACAAACAACAATTTAAGCTTTGTAAATATTCAAAAGTAAAACATTTTATTCGTAAAATACATGTGAACGATATAAATCGGCCTCGTGAAATAAAATGTCACTTTCACCATTCGTATCACAAGTAACTATTTCAAACAAAAACCTTTCTTGAAATGACTTTCAGAAGCTGATAATATAACTTGTATCTTGACCACGCCTCTCAGAAAGAACAACCTAGTCTACCCTACGCAATATAAATTATGACAGAGAAAATGTTATTTTGTAATTAACTTTCATTTTGACTAGTCTTTGAAGTGTTCTTTTATCAGCCTAATCAAGACCTTGTTAAAATTTACAAGTGAGGTAATAACAATGGAAGTTCTCGTGACAATGTGAGGAGCGTGAAAGAGTACTAATCAATATCCCTCTTGAAAAATCCTTCTCTCTCAATAAAGCTCCTTGAAACCTCATCACCCTAACGTGACACTTCATAAAAGGAAGAGGTCGACAAATTTACATTGTGCTACACTTTCTTATCGGCTTCCGTAACTTGAGTTCCCCAGCAAATGTTCTCCTGGAAGGAGCAATTAAAGTAGATACAGCGACAACGATGCTTGATAATTTTTAGATTTACTTCTAGGCTGTCCGGGTGACGCCGCGTCGTTGGCAGATAGGCCGACGTTTTGCCTGTCATGTCGCAGGCTCCAGGGTAGTGACGAAACTCTCCCGAATGTGTTGACGAGTCGTAAGCCGTGGTATTTGACGATTTTTTTTTTACAATTCCATAAACTATTATTCACTATTAACGTTGCTATCAGCTCCATGACTGCAAGTATAGTCGATAATCCTCATTATGCAATTTCTCTCCACCTTTCATCACTTTGAAGTGGAGCTACAATTTTCCCTCTTCCCTTGTTCCTTCTCCGGCTAAGTAGTTATCACGCCGAGTTTTTGTCATAATTGGACACCCTGACATTATTTAAAGTAAACGGGTAAATGCTGGCGACACACAAGCGTCAAATGACGTACGTTAAAGTACGTCCGCTGCAGCGCAGCAGGGACGCATATGGCCCTGCAGTCAGCCTTGCCACACTAGTTCGCTCTCTAGCAACGTCCGTTGCGTAGCAGCCAACGCTACAGTTCGTTTACACTATGTTTCAAACGGATATTTTGATTATGGGGCATACTTTACATGAAGCCTCAACATTGTCAAAATTTACTAAAACATTACTCCAAATTTGTTTAGAAAGCTACGTACTAACTTCGTAGGCATCCATTGTGTGCAAAACACTTGGAGTACTAACGACCTACTTATGCAAAGTGGCCTTATAAATTTGGTACAAATCCGATTTTTATAAACACCTCAAAAATTGCCTATCCAAATCTTACATCTATTTTACTAAAGGGAGTTTTCCCAGAAAAGGCTGAAATATTAAGAGACAATGTAAATGCATATTACGTAAGTGTTACAAATGTTGCGAGTAAATACATGCTGTTGTAGCACCACTAGTTAAGCTACAGAAGAAAAAAATAAATATAAATTTATTAACAGTATTTAACACAATAATGCATAAAAATGCAGTAAAAATCTGTTTCAGATAATGTTACAGTGATTGTCACGCCCTACTTAAACTTGACAAATTCGAATTATGCCAGAAACGAGGGACTTGGAAAATATTTGATACAATTGAACTCAATGGCAGTACGTTCTTAGTGTCCAGGAAATATGTTAGAGAAGATTCGATAGAAGCAGTCAGCCGATGCCAGGATATGATACCCGTCAGAGATAATGAAGCTTCGCAGTCAACAAGGCTCAACAAACAGATGAAATTATCATCTCTCGCACCCACTTTGGCAGTGGCTTAACAATCCCACTTTTGCAGTGGCTTAACAACGTTTAAATTGGGTTTATCAGGTAAAAACTTGGTCGAGGTAGTTATTTATGGTACGAGTAGTAAAAGTGTCATTTAATTGGCGAGTAGGAAATGAGACACGAGGCCGAGTGACGCAATCCTATGATGAAATACACTTTTATCTCGTGTGTCATACATTATTTTTCTTTTCTCGCATTTACTTCATACGATGAGAAAGTATTGTCATCCAACGCCCGAAAACGACGAATTTTCGGCAGATAAACTCTTCTTGCCAAACCCTCGGGACTCAAAAGCGTATAAATCTCGACATGAATTACCTAAATTATTTCCTCTAGCGTACTTTTTAGTCATATTCCATATCCTAGAAACCGCACGATTGACGGCAAAATATCTGACCGTCCGTCTGCGGTCAACCCGAGCACTTCAGGATAATATTCTCTAAAATTGATATTCCCCGATCGATCTACATGAACTCGAGGGTCCCTTGAATTTTATTTTGATTTTGGGGGATACTTTACATGAAGCCTCAACATTGCCAAAATTTACTAAAAAATGGCTCCAAATTTGTTTATTCATCTTTGTCCTCGGAGAGCGTAAAGAACGTTCAAGAGACCAATGCAGCTGTCATTTTAATTGAAATCACTGATTTTTCGAAAATTGCAAAAGTTCAATTTTTCGCCGTTTTTCTACAACTACAACTGAAGATAAAGATTTTTTCCTGAATGAAATCTGTTCTTTAAGATAGATCTTGAAATAAGGTCAGGTACATATTTTCCAAAACATGGGTAGTTTTCGCGTAATATTGTGTGAAACGTAGGCAATTTTTAATCTTTTTAACAATTTTTTTCTCAAAACTTTCGAATTTTTTCTTTAAATATTATTTTTGTATCTACCAAAAGATGGTTAAATTATGGGGCTAGTTTCATTTCCTGGAAACCCACAGTATTTTTGGGACACTAGCACAAATATAACAATTCAAAACTTCAAAATTGAAGATAAGAGAAATTTGCCTTCAACCAAATTCGTTCGAAAAAATAAGCTCTTTAAAAAAGGTTATGTTCAATTTTTGTAAAATGACTGCAATTCATAAAAAATTCTTTGTTTTCTCAAAAAGGGTTCCAATTCTTTTTTTTTAATTTCACGGTTAGAACAAGGCATGTTAAGAGAATACCACAGGTCGCGTTTTCATTGAACTCTCTTGATTTTGGAAAATAAGAAATTTTGAAATGTGAGAATTTGCCAATAAATTTTGTGCTAAGATGGCAAATTGACATAAGTCACACTTTCATGACATAAATTACAAAGTGGCACGAGTCACTCTTTTGTTAATGTTTAGAGAGAGGCAAAAGGAGAATTTCTCTTGTAGTTTATGAAAATAAAAACAAACAATGGTTACAAATTGCAGTATGAAAATTCACAGAGTATTTTTTCATGAATCTTGAATCTTAAAATTGCTGTCATGGAAAATTTTTAAAAAGTTACTTAAAACTAATTATGTTAAGATGGCAAAATGTTATATATTGAATGAATTTATGTTTTTTTACATGCAAAGTAGTTTCTAATCTGTATTACTGAGTTGCAACAAAGGAAATTTGAAAATAACAAATTGAGCATTTTCAATAAAATATTTTCCTGCTTATGACATTCAAAATATTAAGATCTTTGAGAAACTTGCTAATGTGATCCCACTGCACAGTAGACTCAAATAATAGTGAACCTAAGTCCTGTTTTACATACATTAGATCTAAGCATAAGAAGATTCAGTTACAGTGAACCTCGACTATAGGAAATACAACAACCTGGAAATTAATCCCCACCTAGAAAAGAATAAAATGCTTCAGTGCTGCACACTTCCAATGCCATTCCAACACTAGGCAGCTTCAAAAAAATATTGGTTAAAGGTCAAAATCGAAGAAGACTATCCTGAGGTGAAGGAAGTCTCTCCTGAGGCGGACCCAGAATGGGGACCTACTAATCTCATGCCACTCATGATGCAGTGAAAGCCAAGGCTGTGTCCTGCATGGCGACAACTGGCGGCAGTGGCACACTGTTCTATGTAGGCGATACCAGCCATGCAGTGCGGAAAAGAGATCAGTTTCAATAGTCGCTTGCGCCATCCCACTCCAAAAGGATCTCCTATGTTATTAAAAGAGTAATAGGGGCTAGCTTCCAAGAATGAGACTTCCAACAGGCATTGAGGCATTGCAAGAGGCATTGAAGGGAGTCAAGTCTGCCTTACAATACCTACAGACAGTGGACAACGTAGAATCAAGTATAGAGAGATCACGATCTCTGGAGAAAGATCTAGAGAAATCTAATGAAAATTGTACAAAGGATACAATTGAAAATAATTCAGTTTTTAAGTACATACATATTGAAGTTTTCAGTTCATGCTGTTAATGTATATTGCTGTATCTATATTAATAAAATCAATCATTGTGGAGAAACTCTATTTAATTTTTTAATATCATTGGTTATAGTGAATCTCAGTTATAATGAACCAAAAATGTTAATCCCCAGAAGTTCACCATAACCAGAGTCAACAGTATTTATTCCCTTTTCATATCTTCACACATTTTTGGTGCTTATATACATTCCCTTCTCGTGTGACACATCCTGCAACATTAGTTACCGATGCAGCCAGTTGGGAGACACCCACCATGTCACAACACAAAAGCAAACATCTATGCCCAAAGAAGGATTGAAACCCATGACCCTGCAAACTCAGACCAACCTAAGGCATGTCCGCCTTAATTCTAAGCTACTTACGTTGGTAAAATATGTGAGTAATAATATTTGTTGGACTTGTATTTAGTCAAATGAACTAGAAACACTTGGAATACAGGGTATTAATGTTACTTGCTTATAAATTATGCTTATAAATTATATGCTTATAAATTCTTGTAATCTTCAATACTATCAGCCAGAAGTTGGAAAAAAACGCTTCTGACACAAAATATGACAAATGATTATTTATGCTTTCATCTTATTTAAAAATATGAATTTTGGACAAAAAGGAGTAAATGGCAAAAATGGTATATTTTCAGAAAATATAATTTTTTAACAGTATAAAATGTACACAATTATCTAACACACACACATGAAGTAACAGCACAAGTCAGGTAAACATCCATCAGTCTTCGCCTCATTGCACATTCTCCAGAAGTAGGGCAATGCCCTGACCTCCACCAATACATGCGGAGCCAACGCCCAGCTTAGCATTCCTCCTCCTAGAAACACAGACGCCAGAGATCAGAGCTTTTCTACCTTCTAAAGCTACTAAATATCCATGCAACTTTTCTTCAATGATTGTTTGGCAAAATGTGGGTAGAGTGGTGGAGTTAAGTACATTATCAGTCTCTAGAGTTCTTTGAAGTACCGTATTTGCTGGTGTATCAGACGCACTTTTTTCCTACAGTAACTTGTTAAAAAACAGGTGGAAATTTTTGTAAAAGTTTGAATGTTCAGTATATAACTTTACAAAAACCAAATTTTTGTACACAGAAGAACAGGAATTTGTATTTCTACCAAATTGATTATTATAACAGCTGAAAGTATTGCAAAAAGAAAGAATGCTGAAAATTTCGTAGGGTCAACATCATTGTGTGGAAGATTTCTGAAAAGGCATGGTCTTTCCATGCATACTAGAAAAATATCATAGTCTCCTGGTGAAATATGAAGAAAATATAATTTCTTTTCAGAGGGCTCAATTCTCATTCCTTTCATAAAAATAAAAATCAAGACTTAAGTTTAATGTTAAGAAATGAAATCCTTCTTGAAAATCAGGGTGCCTTATACAATGGCAAATACGGTAATGCCAACCACTGGAAAATCAAAGTCAAACTTGCATACCTAGACAATATAAATTGGTCTCCTTGGATGTTAACTTTTAAAAACCAAGAATTTCTCTTGAATTTAGAGGATTAAAGACTCCATTGGTCTTTATTCTCCATATTGTAAAAAATACTAGCTCCAATGTAAGAATATGGTTGAACTATTACTGGGAGGACACATTAGAATTTTGTTTTCTTTTTTTTTAACTCTAATGACTTGGCATCTTTCTCAACAATTCTGCTTTCACTACTATTATATGTTCTCCTAATAAACCAAGGTGTCTCAAATGAAACAAGTAATCAAAGAGTCTCCTGCGAATGACCAAGTCATGCTTCATCCTTGGATATTCCCAGAAAAAACACAAACAGTTCTCATCTGAGACTACAAGTGTCTTCTGTTTCAAGCCAACGAAGATATCTTTCGAATGTCGTCACCAGAGGTCACTGCAAGCTTTTAATTTCAACTATTCATTGTACAAGGGTGGAGAAGATGGGCCATTGATCAAGAAAAATTGCATGGGAAATACACTTTTACGTAATGAAATATTTTAAACTCATTTTCGTAAATTCGAGTCATTATTTACTTAATAGGAGAGGAAGGTCACAGAATGGCGACCAAAACGTCAGCACCTTTGCCATGGACGTGGCATCACCCGGACAGCCAATTAAAAAAAATATATATTTACTTAATAATTTACCAACAGATGACAGTAGAGACATTAAAAATAGCTCTCGGATTAGAATAACCATATGTTTTTTTCAGCAACGATTAGTATCAGGGAGGTTCAGGGTAATGAAATAAAGAATGGATCGATATACAGAGCTGAAGAAAATTGTATGAACCAAAATTAGCTAATTCTTGTTCATATGTTAACATTTTATAAATAATATGCATTTAAATGGAATATCACCACTTCACCTCAAAACTTTTATCTCACAGCTTTAGTAACCTTGCTTAGTTTAGCACTCATATGAAAATGAACTTTGAATATTGACCATGACTCTTCACCATTACACAAATAGAAAGATATTTTGTGATAAAAATATATGAATCTCCATGTGCTCACCTGAGTTCATGAACGAGATGAGCGGTTATACGCGAGCCAGATGCACCAAGGGGATGGCCAAGCGCTATCGCTCCTCCATTAACATTCAGCTTTCCCAGGTCCAACTTCAGCTCTTTTGCGCATGCAAGTGTCTGAGCTCCAAATGCCTCATTGATCTGCAACAAACCACATAATCTAGAATGCAACATTCTACATTTTTTCTCGTGAAACATCTTTCTCACTGTGAGCTAAACAAGCAAGCTTCTAGAATTCACACGACCTACAAGATGAATAGTAATAGAAGGAATGAAATGAAGATTCGAAAAAATTATTAAATATTTTCTGCAGCAAGGTAGATAGGTTCCCTAAACCCTTGTGCAGAAGGTACAACTAGGGAATTGGGGGCCCTAACTGTCAAACATGAAATCAGGAATTTCAAATATTGATCAGTATATAAGTAGGCATTATATCTTAAATATATTCAACCATGGATATTTTATTATACTCGAGATTTGAAGCTTTTCTTTTTTAATTTGTATTAGCAACGATATTTTTATCAACGTCAGTCTGTTGTGCTCCTTCATTTTCTACTGAAAGACAAACCACTTCTAAGGATATTCTAAGGATGTTCTGAATCATTTTTAACTTTGAAAAAGACCATTTAGCTTTGCCCTTGTCACAGGAACAGTAGTAAGTACACCTAGCAAGCCGTATGTAAGGGAATTTTAGTAAAAAATATCAGAATAAGCAGAAATCAAAAACTATATTAAATATGTTCTAAATTATCAAGCTGATTCCTCAAATCTAGTTATTAATGTTAGATCTGAAGGAACTTGACTGATATTTGCGATATGAACCACGGCTGCTCAAATGCAAGTACTATGGCCAAGTGCCTGCATTTGGTGCCCTGATTGGCCTTCACCTTTCACTACACTGAACCAAATGTGCCCAAGTGTCCCCCTCCCCACTTCCCCATTGGACAGGTTCAACAAGCAGCTGGCCACACTGGTGCCCTGTCCAGATAGGCACTGGGACAGGGGACACTTAATGTACTGCCCACTTTAGCACCCGTAATCTAAACAAGACTTATGTGTCAGGGAATCTTTTAGCTTCTTTTTTTCAATCCTTTGCCCTATTCTGGAAATTACTAATTCATAATTTTTTTATCATAAACTATCAATTTACAATTAGAAACAATGCAAAACAGATGTACAATGTGAATTACAAAAAATGCAAATTTCTTGTATACACCATTGCCAGTTTTACATCACTAGAGTACACAAAAAAATTAACAATTCATTTTCAAGATAGTACAGACTGTGATCAGATGATATACATTGGACAAGTTGCTCAGCTGACAACCAAGTGCACAAACATAGATGACATGGCCCACATCATGTGCTCCCTTCCCTCGCTCAACCCATCCTGCCAGTATTTTCTTTTTTCTTCAAAATAATTCTCTCACACAATTGCAATAGTACGGAAAAATGTTAATAAAAGATTTAGTTGACAAGTAAATTATTATATCTTTTTTTTTTTTTATAACAGGGCAACTTATTGTGGTAACCAAATATTTTTGAACAAAAACCTCACCTTCATTAGTGGTCAACAGAGATTCCAAAGGTTGACAGGGGTTCAGGAACTAATTTTCTAGCACTTTAAATACAAGGAAACCATTCTCAAAATTAAGATTATACATCCACATTACATACTGATAAATTGTCACTTCATGAGATTAACATCAATTACAGATTTGTCTGAAAGATCGTAACTTAATTGGTTCGTACACAAATTTCCTCTACTCACAGGTGCCAGTGACAGTTTATTCTCATCAAGAATGAATGTTCCATACACAGTGCCAAATACTAAGCACAACTCAACTCTTGCCTAAACTCAACCACATTCGATCCTGGCAAAGATGGAGTAGTTGGAGAAGGTTCCCAGTCTCCTTGCAAAACTAGCCCCACTCTCAAGATTTCTTTGCTAAATGAAACATCTATATTACTCAAATTTCCCCCTCATACAAGTACATGGTAAGTAAAATTAGACTCAAAAATTTCAAATAATATCCAAGTTGTTAAACAAATTTCATTACCTCAGTTTTCAACAATTGTTTGTACTGCTTCATTTAAAAGAAACTAGTATTTCCAAATGATTAATTACAAGACTTTTACAACTCTCCTTGTTTACACAAAAATAGTCAAATTAGTCTTTTAGACCTGCGATCCCCGTGCCTTACATTCCACAGCAGCTCAGATGTAGAAGCGCGAAGCCTGACATAGGATCATTTGAAGTACTTACGGATTGCACAAACATTGCATGAAGATGAGGTTTGCTAGTTATAGTAAACTTCTAATGATTGAACATAAGTCAGGAATGCTGTTTTTGTATTGTTCTCTAATTGGGTACGAATGTAATTTGCTTTTTAGCTCTAATATGACGACATCATTATAAATATTTTATCAGAAAATTCCCAAATTAACAATCGCAGATTGGGGTCTTTCAATTGCTGGTACAGTATAAAAATTCACAATACCACAAGAGATTGTAAAAGAACCCAGTTACATCACAAGGTCAACAAAAATAACTTGGCACCATTACAGGAATGCCATTACAGCAATCAAGTTCTCACTGTGCTGAGAAATAGCCAGTTCTCAATTGAGAAAGAACACTTATCCCAGCTCAGACATTATAAATTTAAAATGAAAAGAAATAAATGAAAAGATTTCCTTTATTTTCATGAAATATTCATGAATATCCTACTACTCCCAAAACTTACTTGATGACATTTAATTGTTATCTCTTTTCTTACATTACTGGTTTGTGAAAGAAGATGGATGAGAATTGTTCAACCACTGTTTCTGAACATCCTTCTAAGAAACTACATTTCATTTGAATTCAAGTTTAATTTTCAATCATTTGCAAACATTCTATACATTTTGTCATAATTTCATAGTAAATACTCTTTAGTTGAATGATACAAGAGCGAGAGAAAACTACAGTATTTTTACTGCAGTATATTAAGAAATTATTCTATACAAGTCCTACCTCACATTGGTACCTACCATTTCATGTTGAATTATTAATTACATAGCTTTTCATAATTAAGTTTCAAGTTAGAAATATAATGTTCAAATTCAATTGAAATCAAATGCACCTACTTGTAAGCATGTACAAAATTAGGAAAAATGTATAAGTTCCCAACTTTTGAGATGAACGTTTTAGCCCCTCGTAAATTGTCAAGTCGTGCATATATATTACTTGCCTTTTGACCAAGTTATGCACCTTGATAAATACCTGGCTGATTAAAAAAGAAGTATTTGGTAAGTTTGCAGAGAGAATTAACACTATAAAGGCAATAGAATTACACTAGCAAATAGTATTAATTCACTGATCTCCTGCATTTTGATATCCAGTGGAAAGAATAACAAAATTACAGGTGTCCACAACATGTTCCAAAAAATAGCTAAATTAAAATTTTAGAGATACTTCTTTCATAATATTCAACTTATTGATGTAAAGTAGCACCAGAGTTTTTAGGGAGAGAGAAGGAAAAGGCAGAGGAATGGAACATTTTTAACTTTAAGCTACAAAGAAAAGTAGATATTAAAGGTTTTGAGTAACTAAGGTTGAAGTGTACATAATCATTACCATTTAGAAACATTCCAAACTAAAAATATCACCGAGATCTTCTTAAGAGTACCTTCTTCACAATATTCTCATTTTGATGCTATCCCTTTACAAACTCTAAACCACAGGAAAAAAGCAAATAGTTCTTACCTCCACCAGGTCAATATCGGCCAAGGTCTTGCCAGCAGTCTTCAACAATTTTTGAATGGCAGGGGCAGGGCCAATGCCCATGATGGAAGGTTCCACACCCACAACGCTGTAGGCTACCAAACGGGCCAGAGGTTTCAGTCCAAGAGACTTGACAGCTTCTTCTGATGCGAGGAGAACAGCACCTGCTCCATCACAGATGCCCTACAGACACAATCACCTCATGTCAAACCGCTCACGACTTTGAGATTCCTCAATTTGCTTTCAGAAGGATCCACAATATAATGCAAGATCTCTCCTAAAATTTGTATCTGCAACTGCTTCTTAACTTCATTTTATTTCTTTACAACACCAATTCATGTAATGTTATTAGAATAAAATTATCACATTACACATTTACTATGCTACCTTATAATTAACATCACATTAAACGACCACATTTGGAATCTTACTTAAGCCCAAAACTCGCAAACATTCAAAATATGAAATGGTATTCATGTTCCCAAGGGGTTGACTGCCTCTCCTATTTCTATGAACTTCTTTCATTTAAAATAAACTAAGTACCAACTTGTTCGCACAGTTTTTGAAAGTTACTTCTTAATTGAATTCCAATACATTTCTCCTGTGCTGTTATGCCCCCCTTGTAGTATAGAGCAGTCAGTTATCACCCTCCGTAAGGTAAAAACCTGATTACGTTCAACAATGTCAGAAGAATGTGTCATTAGTTTATGCTTATTGAGTTCACTAAGGTTCCTCGTTTCAGAAACTATGGAAGAAAAAAATTCAAACCTTAAATACATTTTTAGAAAATCCACAAAAACTTGTGACAAATTAATCTTTTACTTTAAATATTTTTTTTCTGTTTTTTTAATTGTAAAAACTAAATTTTATAAAAAAAAATCATGTGTTTTTGAAAATTTATATTGTAATACTCCCTTCATTTTAAGAAAATAACAGTTATTTTTCATCAATTTAATTCTAATGATAATAATCTTTAATTATTTTTTAATTGTGCAGATTTAATATAATAATTGTTTATTTAATGATTTATTAAATACTAATTAATTCCTCTAGTGAATTCTTACGATTTTTTATAAATATATTATTATTGTTATTACTCTTATTATTAATATTATTTCTCTTTCAACTCTCCCTCATTAAAATCCTGACTACATCCATGATGTTCTAAAAGAAGGTTTTAGAAAATTCCTCGGTAGGAAATTTCACGAAGTGACCACCCGCAGATTAATGGAAGTAACACTTCGGTAATAAATATCTTTACACTAATATGCTCAAACACTTAAGCATTAATTATAACAAAACAATCTCTCAGAAGGAACTAAACAAATAATGACCAAAATTTCATCCTCAAAACAAAAATGTCTGAATAGCAAAAAGAAAAAGTGCAAAGCATTGCATTGCAATGGAAAATAACCTGTTCTACTGAACAAGACTTTGAACCTATGACTATGTGTCATATCAGTACAAAGTTCAAAAAACCTAACTTATTACATCACCAGAAAGTCTGAAGGCCAATAACCTTAAAAAATTCTACCTTGTCATTTAGGTTGTTTAGATATAGACTATGTATCTCATCTACTTGTCACCAATTGAGATAATGTCATTGTAAGGAGTGAATAATTATATTTATAAGCTCTTCCTCTGTTAGTCAAAAGAGATCAGGATAAAACATCAGCACCTTCATGACAAGTTCTCATCTACAAATGAAAATTTTCATCAAACTTCTTTTTGCTCTTCATTTCAATATATTTGAATATCAACTATCTAGTTCTGGTATTAAAAATTATATCAGGGGCATTTTTTTAATCATTCGATGGGAGACAGTTAAACACCTTTCCTTAACTTTTACACTCAAAACTAATAATACATAGATGCTTACTATTAAGAAAAATCAATTAAGAAATTTTCTATTAAGAAAAATCGTAATTTAGGTACACATCATGCTACAAATACGATACATATGCCCAAAGCAAAGGTACATAATATTTTGTATTACAATATTAAGAGTGAATTGAATTATGTAATACATATTTTAATGTAATGAATATTAAATATTTATGTCACTAGTTTTTAGAAGATGTAATCATTCTTCAATAACTTTTATTCTTTTAGAAAGCAATTTCTCATATATACCAATCCTTACATCAACAAAAACATTTTCTGCCTCTCCCCTTCCCCTATATGAGTCCAACAATATACACTATACTACAGGAAAAAATTAATTTGTATTGATATTTTAAAAATGAAAGAGAAAATTATATTTTCTTAGAGAAAGTTTTAAGATAGAAGAAAAAATGTACGATTTCTACTTGCACTTACTAGCATTAATATTAGAACATAAAACAGAAATTACACTAGGCAATTTAAACATAAATAAAGACCTCCAAATGTGATAAATAATGTTATGATAAATCTTGTTCAACTTATTGTTTATACAGAAAACATATATAGAACAGAAACTTATACAGAAAACAGTATATACTCCATTGAAGGAGTTTTTGTTTGGAATTTTAAGTCACTTAATCAAACTCAAAATATATAACACAAAAAGGGAGAACACAGTTATAACAGCAAATAATGTGGCAATGCATATTGAGAGGAATCATGATTTCATCATTCACATTAACAGGAATCAGTTTAGTTCTTCCAACTTACTGATGATGAGCCAGCAGTGACCACTCCGCCTTTCTTGAAGACTGTGGGCAGTTTGGCCAGGCCCTCAGGGGTTGTCTGCGGGCGGGGATGCTCATCCACATCCACGACCACCTCCTTGCCTTTCACCTTTATGGTCACTGGCGCCAGCTCCTCCTTGAAGTAGCCCTTGTCGTTGGCTGTGAGAAAATGAAACTTAAGAGAGACGCATCCATATAATTAAGTTGGTTTGTTTGGTTTTTGACTAATCCCACTATTTATACTCCTTCCCAACCCAGGAGAATATTATATCACTTGAAAACCTTTCTTACCAGCTTTCCAAAGTGTCTGAGATCGAAGGGCAAACTTATCCACATCATCACGCGGAATACCATATTTTTCTGCCAAGTTTTCAGCAGTAATACCCATTGGCATCTTGCAGTACGTGTCTGTTAATCCAACCCACAGGGAGTCCTCCAGATCGTAGGGAACGCCCAGAGTGGTGCCAAAGCGGATGTTCCTGGCCGTGAACGGAGCCTGGCTCATGTTGTCTGCCCCTCCGGTCAGCACCACCTTTGAATCTCCCAACACGATGTTCTGGACGGACACAGAAATGGAAAGAGAAAAGTCAATGTCAATCAGAGATGGGGGGGAAAAAAACAATTTAAAAACCACAACATGTGATTATCACTTGTAAGATACTTAAAGTCACCTTTAACACCAAGTTTCCAAACTCCCAATGGCATTACCTACCATGCCAATCATCCAGTGGCCGATCGAGGGGGGGCATTGCCCCTCCAAAAAAGACGTAGAATTTTCGTTTGTTACCTTCTTTTATTTGGCAAAATTTATTTAAATATTTACTTATGTTAGAATTAAGTAATTATTTTAAAATAATATTGTACAGTACACACACACACACAATATAACAAATGTTTATTATTTAACAAAAATGTATGATGGCCCTCTCCAAAATGATTGGCTGCATCCAACCCTGCCTTCATAACGCAGGGAAGCCAAGGGGTTTTAGAAATGTAAAATTTTAGGTTTCTACAAATAACAGTTTGCCGTTTTCAGTCCAACAATACTTAAAATGGCAAATGTTTTTCTTCAAAAATGCAAGAATGGTGGTGCGTTCGGTGGTAAATAACAGTGCGACACAGTCAGGGGCAGTTCCAGCTGATCATTTCGGAGAGGGCCATCATAGATTTTTCTTAAATAATAAACATTTGTCATTTTTTTATTATTATTTTGTAGTGTATATATGATATTATACAATATTATTTTTTTTAATAATTACATAACTCTAATTTAAATAAATATTTAAAACAATGTCGTGGGCCCCCTCTGGATCCGCCACTGCACACAATTTGGAGAAAATCGAGGGCTCACCTGCGCGCCGTTGACGATGGACTGGAAGCCCGAGCCGCAGAGGCGGTTGACGCCCAGAGCGGGCCGGTCGATGGGCACCCCCGCACGCAGGGCGGCATGCCGGGCCAGGAAGGCACCGTCCGGGGAGGAGTTCTGCAACACGCGCAACCCCTGCCTCACAACACGCGCCCGCGCGGCACTCCGCTGCTGACGGCATTAGAACTCTTAAGGTCGCAAAATGAGACGAAGGTCCGTGACGTGACGTAACGTGACGTAACGTGACGTAACGTGACGTGACGCAGGGTGGCTATGGGGAGTTTCTGATAACCACTGCTTATTAGACGTGCTCACGAACCCGGGTCACGCGTCTTATTTTGCGAATAGCCTAAGAGTAGTGCAGGTTTTATGGGTGGTCTTTCTCCGCTCGCGGCGAGATCCGGAGCCGACCCACCTTCCGGTTGGCAGGTTTTCCCAATCAGGGATCTCCAAACAGCGGGGCACCGCCCCAGCAGGGACGAGCTCTCCCGACCGGCATGTGTGGTGCATGTTAGTGTAAGTAAGGGGGGGGTGAGAATAGGGCAAGGATGGGGAAGGAAAGATCGCGTGCGGTTGGGGGGCCCGTTTGTTACGGTACTGCTCATAGATATACAGAGGAGTACCGTACATATAGAGGACATCTTTATGTCTGTGGTATTGCTGGTGTCGAAAGGAAAAACCAAGGAAACTGCCGATCAGAGCACCCAGCCACTACAATTCTTCTCCAAACAGCGGCTGAATTTGACAGAGCTATCTGCCTAATATCGAAGTCTGCCGCCGCCGGTAGTCCAATACTAGGCTAGAGACCATGCTGTGACATCAATTGATGCCCTGAGCTATTCGGAGATTATTCTAAGGGACCGCTTCCACGGCTCCTGTATGGCTACTACTGGCAACAAAACTAGATTATACCCATGCGCTCAATTCGTCAATTTTTACTTTAGCAATTGTCTCACGTGTAAATGGCTTCGACCCTACCTATTGCAATGTCATCGTTCGACATGGCTAATTTGTTTCGTGTCTCTTCTTAGAATAACTTCTCTATACCTAAAACCCGTCCCGTACGGGATAAGTGCCAAACCATGGTCATCTAGATTAGGAAGCGGACAAACCGGTTACAAGTCAGTCAATGAGAGTGTTTTATGTGATAATAAAAATAGTTTTAATGAGCAGGATATGAATTGAACATTTCAATACAAAATACGTATACGAATAAATAGAAAATTAATAAATTAAATTGGACAGGAACAAATTTACTAAAACATAGATTTTATTTGTACCGGAATGAGCTGTAGGAAGATTTAAACGTCAACTTGTCGAAAGTATTTTTTGAAAGTTACCTAGACGCGCATATCGCGGATCAAAGTCAGTTTTTTCCATTAATAAATTCCCATTTCTCCAAACTTCAAACTGCGAAAATGATTCAAGTATCTTATCAAAGGGCATCTAAAAAAATATAATCAAGTCGGCCAATGTTCCTCGCCGAGAAATGCAGGGACAACTGAAGTTTAAAAAAATCAGTTAAAAAGCAATGTCGAAGTCATTGTCACTTACTGCCAGCACGTTGCCCACGACCACAGAGTCCACCTGCTCGGGCTTGACGTTGGCGGCAGCGAGGGCCGCCTTGTTGGCCACTGTCTGCAGCTCTGTCGCGCTCGTCTTCACGAACTTCCCTCCGTAGGTCCCGAAGGGAGTTCGTTTTGCCGCCACGATGAACACACCTGCGCACGACGGAACGGCGAAGAAGCTCAGTCGAAAGCCCAACTTCGCCACACTAACCGCATTTCCAACGGAGCGACACACTTACCTTTCGTTAAAGACGACATTTTGGAAATCGAGCTGACGACACACGGCAATCGAACGCTCACGAACTTGAAGAGCTGACTGGCGACAAATTCTGTTGTCAACGGATTATAAATGCTAGCAGAATCAAAGTTCACACCAGTCCACACCCCTCGGCACTTTCGCTCTGCTCTGCACTTCGACTCGGGTCCAAAGAGCGTGGCACACAGTAATACCACCAGTGTTTATGTAAAGCCAAAAGGCGAATGACTGGCAGGTTTGCAACATACGATAACGCTCCGGTGTCGTCGTAATGTTATCTTCAGAATGTTGTCCTTTATCCTCACCGTGCCACACATCATAACATCATCAATAATAATCGTAGAAAGTTACTTTGTTTATTTTATATTGTAGTGATGACAAGTTCTTTGGTGACATTCGACCAATCCGATTTGTTTATGAAGGCTCATGAAGTTCAAATTTTAAAACCAAAGGCCATAGGGCAATTATAAATACTACTTTAGTAGCTGGCCTTGTGACATTCACCTGCGTCCTATACAGGGCTCGTCTGAACTAGTTTGAGAAGAGGCAATAAGCCAGAGGCTCACGTAACTCACATGACATTTGAAGTCACTTCCTCGAAAGAAAAGTGTAATGATACACGTTTTCTTAAGCCCTCATTTCGCTAGATGTGAGGGGAGTGATGGGGTTTCATTATTTTATTGACAGGGCTATTATACGAAATCTGTAGCTCGTGAAAACTATTTTCTGTTGGACGAAAGTAAACACTTCTGGTTATTAGAGTTTGTGAACAATACTTGTTGTTATCATTTTTTCTGAATTCAACTAATGTTAGTAAAGGAGTGGTGAAGAGGTATGCCGGGGCTCAAGAAAACGTGCAAAATAAATAACTTTAAAGTCGAGTGAATTTAGCATTCAATTCCAATAATATTTAACGTGAAAGTTGTATTGGGGTTTAATGAAATAACTTTCCATTCATGGGTATTAGTGGCGAATCCAGGAGGGGGGGGGGCATGCCCCCTTTTTTGTAGTGCATATTCAATACTACACTTAAAAAAAATAATAATTCTAACAAATAAAACTTAAATAAATTTGGCAAATAAAGGAGGTCACAAACCAAAACCCTAAGCCTATTGAAGGGGTGGGAATAATCCCCCCCTTGACCCTTACTCCTCCCTGAATCTGCCACTGGTTACCAGAAGTAATTAGGCCCTACTTTTTTGGAAAATATCCTCTTTTGAACTCCCCCTTCTCCAAAAG